AGACCATACTCATAAGTGAAATAAATCAGACCTGCATGGGCAAGCACCGCATTGTTTCACTAGTGTAAAACCTGAAAGAGTGAATAAAAACCTGGAGGTATGATAGACATTATGAAATAAAAGGAAAACGCTCAAGGGTAAAGAGCAACTGGGATGTGGGAAAAAGAAGGGAACGAAGGAGAAATTTTGTATGTATGTATATACAGGATAATTAACAGTTGATCTACTGTCTTCTACTTCTTTGCTGAAAGAAACTGTTAATGAGTCCTTGATTGATCAGTATTGCATGTCTCTATAAGTTTCATGATAAACCACTTTGAAGATACCAATATGTAATACAACAAGCACTGTTAATTTCCTAACACTTTGTTTGTAACTGTATTGTTTGTATTGTTCTTTTGCTACTTTGTAAATGGTTGTCTGTCTGTTAATGTTTTCCTCCTTTTATTTTTAAAATAAAAACAAATAAAATAATGGTTAATAATGTACTGTTCATGAAAATATTCAGACACCACAGAACTGCCTAATGGGGAGTATGAAAACTGCCTCTTCTCTAGCATCCTTATATAACTAACAACAGGTAACAGTGCTGAGTTTGTTGAATGTGTGTCTAAAGCTCTTTCTATGGATACACAAACATACACATATGTGGAAGGGCATCATAAGGAAGAGTGAGTAGAATTATGGTGGGGCACCTGGATCCCTGATAACACTGACAAACTCTGTCCCACCTCTACACTCTTTTCCTCTGGGTGTCTTTACGTAAGCAGTAACTATCTTGTGTAAGCTGTTTTTCTTGTTAGATAAGGCATACACAATCATTACAAATAGAAAATCATACCATGTTTGTTCTTCTAGGTAAAATTGTCAAAAAGTTTGGATTTGCTTAAAATTATATTCAATTTATAGATTCACTTTATGAGAACAAGTATCCTTCAATGCTGAATCATTCTATTAAGGAACATAATATATTTCACCATTCATCTGTGTCTTATAAAATACATTTTTTTATAAGGTAAAGGTTCACCGTGTGTGTGTGTGTGTGTGTGTGTGTGTGTGTGTGTGTGTGTGTGTGTAGGCAGGAAGAGGGAATGACTACATTTCCTTTACATTTTCTAACCAGTTAGTTTTAAAAGTCATCTCATATTCTATGGCATAACTGAGTGTTCAATTATTTTCATGCGTTAATAATCATTTATTGTGGAGAAGGACATTCTTCGATTAGAATGCATTGAGGACACAACGATGTGTTTATTATTTGTTAGAGTTTCTTAAGATAAGGCTTCATTACACAGCCTGGATTCGCCTTGAGTTTGCGATCCTCCTGTCTCAGCCTCTTGAGTGCTGGGATTACAGGCGTGTCTTGGATTACATGTAGAGAAGGATAATCCTTTAATTATCTTTGCTAAAACCATTTGGTATCCATCCCCCCATTTGTGCTAGCTACGCCCTTGGTTGTCGCTCAATAAAAGGTGACTGAGACTGGTAATCGCGGCTGCAGTCCGAGAGGCTGTAAGCCCCTAATCCCAGACTTCTGCCTTTCTTGCTTTTCTTGTTTCTCTTACTTTTCTTTCCATCCGCGGACACCTCGTTCTCAGTACCTGACACACTGGTTAGAACGACAATTTATTATACACTTTTCTTTTTTAAATTTGATGGGAATGGAACCCAGGGCCTCTTGAATGTTGGATGAGGTCCCTACCACTGAGGTATACCTGCAATCTGCCCTTTTCTTCTCTTGTTGCACCAGCTTAACCTTCCAAAAGAACACTGGAAATCATGTTAGTAGCTCATTTAATGACAGTGTCATCTAACGGCTCAGTTAGAGATGAACATGAGAATTACTGGTGACTCAACAAACACAAGGGTTAGGGCTCAACCCAGACCTACTGAATTGAAGTCTCTGTGGAAGAGGCCCGAGCATGGACATTTCCAGAGAGGGTTCCAACTACCCTCAGGGGATTCTGAGGCTCACTACTAGATAAGAACCAACGCTCCTTTAGTTCAATATTAAATAAACTATCTCTGTTTTCTCTTAAATACCCACTAAGTTTCCTAGCTTGCATGGTGGCATACGCCTATAATCCCAAGTACTTTGGAGGCTGAAACAGGAGGATGACAAGTTCAAGTCTAGCCTGAGCAGTTTAGTGAGACTCTGTTTCAAAATAAAAAAAAAAATTTTAAGAAGGGCTGGAATTATCCGGGTTGCACATGCCTGTAATCCCAGCCCTCGGAGGCTGAGGCACAAGGATCCTTGTGAGTATGAGACCAGCCTGGGGTACAAAGTGAGGTCAAGGCCAGCCTCAACTGCAAAGCAAGACCCTGTCTCAAAAAGACAAAAAAGAAAGGGCTGAGATGCAGCATAACACTGCCTGGCTTCCATCCCTGGTACTAGAAAAAAAATGTCCCGGTTACCAAGAGCACTCTTATTATGGTATTTTAAGATTCAGAAATTGATGTTGAATATTATAAAGTGTTCCTTTACCATCCACGGGGAAGGTTTTCTCTTTATTAATTACAATAGAATACATTAATGTATTTCCTAGTTTTGAACATCTTGAAATTCTTCCATTATAGAGCTGTATTTGATTTGCCAGTATTTCATTTTGATTTCTGTATATCTATTTATAAAAATGAGACTAGCCTAGAGTTTGTTCTTTTATCTTTGTCAGTTTTGATATCACAGGTATGCACGCTTTACAGAATGAGCCAAGATTTCAACCTCATTGTACATGCTAGATCTCTTCAAATATTTCACGTTGGAATTATTTGTTCCTTGAAAACTTGATAAAACTCCCTTGAAAAATATTTGTGCCTTTATAACTAAACAAAATTTGGTAAATTTTATAACAGCACTAGCATCTTCTGCAGGTACCCAAATGATCTGATGACTGAGTGTAAACTGCTTTCTACACAGACTAGACCCTGAAGTTACTGGCTTACCGCATACTAGACATGTGAGAATATGCAAATGCTTTACCACTTTTGAAGGCCAATAAAATTTCTGAGTGTCTTAACAAATTATACTCCATTTCATTAAACATATGGAACCATTCTAGATATACACTGTAATACTAGCCCAAGAACGCAGAGTAAGTGGAAGAACCATGAAAAGGACAGCATGCAATCCTAAAACTCCAAATGCTTTCCTTTATGTGGTGATGAGGGTCAAACTCAGGGCCTTATACATGCTAGAGAAGTGCTCTGTCACTGAGCTACACCTCCAGCATCTTCAGATCTGACACTTTCCTCACCCTTCCAAAACTAGCTCTTGGTTTCTATCTTCACAGTCATCCTCGGACTCAGCTCATGTCCCCTTTGTTTCTGTCCCCAAGGTCTTACGCATGCCCTTCTCTCTGCCTAGAGCACCTCCTCTTAGTTCACCTTTGCCCTTCCTCTTTCAGCTCTAGCACTATTTCCTTTCAGAAAATTCTTAAAACATTCCAGTACAGACTAGTTAGCTTTTCCTTTTTGTAGGCTCCCACAGTAACTTGTAACGCCTTTAGGGTGCTTATGTATTTGCAATCATCTATTTCCTTGCTTGGCCATTTAGTGAATGGTCTCTCCTGACAGACTGTATGCTTCATGAGGACATAGTCTGTGTTGGTTCTGTATGCCCAGGTCTCAGCACAATGCCAGGCGCAGGGTAAGCACAACACTGAATGAACAAATGCTAATCCAGGGATACGCAGGAAGAAGAGAACGGCAATCGCAGCTCTCACACCTTATACAACAGCCTCAGTACTCTATGCTTGACTGAACACCACTTAAGAACAGAGGTCATCTAAACTAGTGTCATCTGTTTAAGGAGAGTTACTTATTGACAATTCTAGGAAAACACACAATTGTCTTCTTACTTGTAAATTCCTCGTGACATATTTTCAATGTATTTAGCTTTGTCTTGTACTCCACAGTGGTAATGGTAGGTCTTCACACAGGCTTTTATTTCACATCCAATAGTAGCACCAGGCTGACTGCAAAGTGTACATTTCTGTTTAAAGAAGAAAAATTAATAATCATAAGCCATATTTCAGAGTTTAGGCAATCTTTTTTGTTGTTGTTGTTTGAGACAGGGTCCCCCTCTGTAGTTTAGGCTGGCCTTGAACTCATTACGTAGCCCAGGCTGGGCTGGGACTCATGGCAATCCTCCTGCTTCAGCCTCCTAAGCGTTGGAATTACATACCTGGCTAGGCAATCTTATTTATTTATTTCACTCATATTTCAGCCAAACATTTAAGTTTACAAAGCAAACCGCAACCACTTTCTATTTTTAAAAAGGAACACACAAAACTTATTACACAGCATGCAATTAAAATAACGTTATATCCAGACACAGTTGTTTGCAGTGGTAGTCCCACCTACTCAGAAGGCTGAGGCAGGAGGATCACTTGAGCCCAGGAAACCCCCTCTCAAAACAAAATTGCTGGGTTTGGTGGCACACACTTGTAATCCCAGCATTCAGGAGGCTGAGGCAGGAGGATTGGCCGTTTGAGGTCAGCCTGGGCTATTTAGTTCAAGGCCAGCTTAAACTACATAGCAAGACCTTGTCTCAAAAAACAAAAACAAACAAACAAAAAAGAATTGCACTATTGTCCTATCCACCTAATTGAACTTTAGTGTCTGACACATTTCTGCATTATAGAAATAAATGATTTTCTCTTTTTTTTAGTACTATAGGTTGTTTTTTAAAGTTTCATTTTTAAAAGAGTAATCAAAGTATCAGTATACTGAACTAGATAAAAATAGAAAAGATAAGAATGTTCACACTTTAAAATGGGAAGTTCTATGGTGGGTCATTTCTAGTGGAGTCAAAGATGATAACTGTCTGAAAACATTACATGAGACTAAAGGAGGACATCATAATCAAGGGATCAGATACTACCTTCACCCAAAGATCGATCTGCTGTGCTACAGCATAAAGTTGAAACTGAGTCTAAGTAAGCCATTACATATAATTCTCACTTTAAATAGAAATATGGTGGATAGAGAGACAAGTGAAGTAGCATCATGAGAAAGCAAACGATACTAGGACATTCTACAGCACAATTAACTCATTTTCTTCAACAAATCAATAGCATAAAAGAATACCAAAAGCAACCAAGAGAGGGTGAATGTCCTATGCTGTATTAAATAAGGGATGTGCTCTAGAAGAACCAAATGTAAGGTGCAGTCTTCTTTTGGAATCCAATTCAAATAAATCAACTTCGTACTTTTGAGTTGGGGAAATAACAAATATGAACTAGTAACTGTTAACTTATAAAGTGTATGATTTTGTTACCTAAGAAAATGTCCAATTAAGAGATGTACACTGAAGTCTGCAGAGATGAAAGGTATGAAGTCTGAGCTCTACTTTAAAATACTTCAAATAACAAGAATTAAAGGCATAGATAGAATGAGTGCCACAAATACTTGATAACTGCTGGATCAAGGTGATGTGTAGATATGTTTAGTCTTTCTTTTTTTGATGTTTTAAAATTTCCACAACAAAATACTGAAAAATGAAGTTATTTCTAGAGTTGATTGCTGTCTTAAAGAAAAGACTTTGCATTCTGCTGACATTCTATATTCATAAGCTTTAAACAATAGATAATAAGGACACCAGTATTTCTTGAAGCTTTTTCTTAGTAGTTCAGTGCATTGAAAAACATGAGACTAAAACACATTTTATTAAAGGAAACTTTAAAAGCTGGACATGGTCATGCATGCCTGTAATCCCAGTACTCGGGAGGCTGAGGCAGGAGGATCTTTGTGAGTTGGAGGACAGCCTGGGCTACAAAGTGAGCTGAAGGCCAGCCTAAACTGCATAGCGAGACCGTGTCTCAAAAAGACAAAAAATTAAAAAAAATTTTTAAAAAGGAAACTTTAAAGTTATAATAAACATTTTTAAGAGACATAACTGTTTATATATAATTTAAACAAAAGACCATAAAAACTTTTTATTAAAACAAAAAGAAAAATTAACAATATTGGGTGGTTTTCTTTTTTTTCGTTTTTTTGCTGGTACTGGGAATCAAACTCACAACCTTGCGCTCGCCAGGCAGGCGCTGTGCCACTGAGCTAAATCCCCAGCCCCCTCTTTTTTTTTTTTTTTGAAGCCATGTGACACTGTGACTCATGTGTCCCGTGTCCCCCACCCCCACCCCCTGTATGGGGAATCAAACTCACGACCCCGTGTTTGCCAGGCAGGTGCTGTGCTGCTGAGCTAAATCCCCAGCCCTACTGGGTGGTTTTCAATGCTGCATTAGGCTTATGGAATTTTTCTTTAAGCAAGCTTATATAATGTAAGGTTTCCAATTTTATAAGGTTTGTCATGTTCATATCTTCATTTATTTTATTAAAGTACTTGCAACTACAATGAAATATAAATGCTCATTGCATAATTTTTTTTAGGAAACGTTTTTAAAAATGTACAATTACACATTGTCTAATTTTTTTAATATACTGAACTACTAAGAAGCAGCTTCAAGAAATACTGGTGTCATTATTATCTATTGTTTAAAGCTTATGAATATAGAATGTCAGTGGAATGCAAAGTCTTTTCTTTAAGACAGCAATCATCTCTAGAAATAACTTCATTTCTCAGTATTTTGTTGTTGTATAGAAAAAGGGGTAAGTTTCAGCAGCACTAACACCCTTTATTATATTACACGTAAGTCACATATAGATCTTGTTTTAACATATCAACTACTTTACAGTAAATTTCCTGATGACTGGGTATATTTGAGATACATTGTAAGCAGAGAATCAAGAATAATGTGAGAAACACAAATGTAAAAAATCACAGACCATTCTCTTTCCTCGCTTAATCTCCTGAAGTACAGTTTTAATATCAAAATCTCCAAATTCTGCTCTTGATGTTGTTGTTAGCTGGACTGTGCCAGAGGAAAACAACTAGAGAAGAAAAATGCAGAAATATTACCATTCACAGTGTCCTTATGAGAGAAAGAGTAAACGAGATACATGCAAACACATTATACTGCTCTAATTTCCACAGCAAAAGATAATTTTTCTTAATAAGAGGTACCAAGTCAAATATTTTAATATAGTCATATCTGATTAAAATACAACCCAAAGTAAGAACACTGGGGGAAAAACACTAAGATTGCCAGTGTGTAGCCAAGATTAAATACTCTGCTTCAAACAATGAAGATTAACAATGTCACCCTATTGTCAACTGTTTCTTATTTCCATAAAGCTTCAAACACTAGTTTAAACAGAAACTTTCACCCAGAGATGCAGACGAGAATCTCCTGTATTTTTTGTTTCTTTTCAAAACAGACATGTCTGGAATCTACTCTGTGGGGGGTCTTAAACACAAATGTTTTGGAAGAAACTTCCCAGGGAAATATTACATGCACTTTAGTCAAAACTTGATGGAAATACTTTCAAAAACACCTAATCATAAATGGGATGAGTGATTCAATACAATATAACTCAAGAACATTTCTGTACTCTAAGTTAGGCCTGGATTTAAGAAAGCAAAGATAAAAACAACTTCACCTTATTCTTATCTTCAAGGAATTTAAGGGTCTATTATGAAAAGTAGGTTTATCAATAGATAAGTACAATACAGTGTGCTAATCACAATAATAATATTTATTAAAGTAGAAGCCTGAAATACCTTTCACGACATATTTATAGATGAAATTCTCACAGCTGTGAAATATTAACTATTAATAATCACAGCAAGCCTGATGGATTATACTGAATATGGTCACAATAATTAGTATTATTTCTTATCCTACTAAAATATAAAGGCTATTTTTTCAAAGTCTGAAGTTTATAGGATATTACTATTCATAAGCGAAACACTAATGCTACGGGGAATTTTCTATTTGGTTACTAGTTAAATGATTTTCAAAAAAATGTGGGCTTGGCTGGGGATATAGCTCAGCTCTAGAGTGTTTTCCTAGCATATCCAAAGTCCTGGGTTCAACCCCAGTACTGTAGGAAAAAAAAATGGGCTTAAAAGCACATAAAAAGAACCATGCTTACCATGCATTTATAATGCGCAGCTGCCTTCTTGGCATTAAATATATGCAGTTTTCCTCTTGCCTCGTTCTCTTCTTCTCCTACATGACAAAATCCACATTTAGGCCTGGTGTCACTGGGGCTGCTTCTGTGTGGAGACCTGTCTCTCTGCAAACAGAAAGGGAAAAATGTACTTTAAAAATGCTATCACTATTTCAAGCTTATTTAACATTTCAAATGATAAACCCTACCTATAAACACAGTTTAAATGAAATATTCATGATGTAACAAAAACTAAGAATCCAATAGTTTCCTACTTACATAGGAACTACTTTCCATTTCATCTGTTCCATGGGAAGATGTGGACCTGGTATCCTCTGACAGTCCTTTAAAATTAGTTTTTCTTGGTCTGCCTTTGCGGCTTTTCTTTTTACTTTTTGGAGATGAGGGCTCCAGTTCATGCTCATTAAAACTTTCTTCTAAATCAGCTGCTTAAGAATGAACAAAAGCTTTACATGGACCAATCTTAAAAGGAGCATTAGTTGATTAACCCACAGGACATAGGTTTCCCCTACAATTACATCACTAGAAATGAGGAAAAATGGTCTGTTACAATCAACACAGCAACCTAATATTTCAGATAAATGCAACAAAAATAAAATATAAAAAGTAGTATATTATAGTGACTGTAACCTTAATTATTTCCTTTGACATGCAATGTTGTGAAAATGACTTTTGTGGTCTTGACTGTACAATTTCACTTTGTCTTTTGTTCTTCTGAGACAGGGTCTCCCTAAGCAGGACAGGCTGGCATCATCTTGAGATTCTCGTCTCAGGCTCCTGAGCGCTGAGATTACAGGTGTGCGCCACCGCACTGCTTGCTTTTAAATGTTTTAAAGACATTTATAATAAATGTAAAACCAGTTTTGCAATCCCACTGACCACATTTCAAGAGCTTATCACCCACATGTGACTAGCTGCAACAGTGCTGAGCTGCACAGACATGGGCTGCTTCCATCACTGCAGAAAAGCACTGGTCTTTTCAATCATCATGAAAACTGAAGGAACAAATTCAACAAAGATGTCATCTGTAATTGAACTGATCACGTAATTAAACAAATATTAAGTACAAAAGGAGTTTCTAACACAAAGGGCAGAAAGAAAATGTTCCAAGTTAGTTGTGTATACTTTGATGCATTGAACAAAATTTATGTATAAACTTTACAATTATATTTCCGAGTAATTTGAAAATAATTTCTAGCACTAATGGAAGCTATTTCACTCAATTAGCAACTACAAATATTTACTAAGGGTCTACTGTACATAAACAATGTATTTAAGTTCTCAAAAAGGTATAAAAACTGAATTCTTGTTTTAGGGTCAAACCATGAAAGTTCTAGGCATAGCCATCTAGCAATTTCATTGATTTTTTTCCTTTACTATGTTATTGATTATAATTCTAGAGACTAATTTCTCAACAGAAAAGCACATCAGCTCCTCCTCTCAGATGCTAATCTCTGCCTGCCTACCTGCCTGCCTATTTATTGGTAGTAGTGGGGACTGAACCCACGGTCTTCACACTGAGCTACAGCCCTAGCCCTTGATTTTTAAAAGAAAATCAAGACAGAGTCTTGCTAAGGTACTAAGCTGCCCAGGGTGGACTCAAACTTGAGATCTCCCTGCCTTAGAAGTATCAGCAATTTTTTGTGTGTGTGGTACTGGGGCTTAAAGCCAGGGCCTTGTGCACAGAAAGCAAGAGCTCTACCACTGAGCCCATCCCCAGCCCAGGCATTACTTTAAATGACTTTTTTGGAAATAAAAGCACATACATTATGGTAAGAAAAGGCAATTCAATTATTATACTTGAATATATGTAAAATCTCAGAGATTGCGAGCATCAGACTCTGCAAAACAGTTAACTTATATGAATGGAACTTCACCTAACTATGATTGGACTGGAGGGATTTAAGGGGAAGAGGTGTAAGTTATTGGACAATGATTTATAGGGAGCAAGATAAATTTATGTAAATAACTCTTCCTATGCAGACAGAGAATTAACATATTTCCTGACCGTGACACTAGCAAATTTCACATCAAAGCATACTATCCACTTTCAATATTCAAAGTGACATTAAGATACAAAATGGCATTAAAGCTGTTAGAATTACTTATACTTGCCAAAAACTAAAAAGTCTTAAAATGAAAAGTCACGGCCAAATGTTTCAATTTTTGATACATATTTGTGTACATATATATAAAATTTCAGTTGTGTGCATATACAGTGGTACTTTGGTTCACGAACACTTTTGTTTGCAAATGATTTGGTTTAGAAACAGAAGTGTTTGGCAAAATTTTGTTTTTGTTTGCAAACTCTAAATCGGGTAACAAACAAGACCATGGTCACCTTACGCACACAAACACAAATGTGGCCATCTTTTCCAAAATCATAGAACAAATTAAGTTCATAAACTGAGGTACCACTGTACAACTAACATTTCATTATCTATAATAAAAAAATCACTAATGCTGTAACACTACATTATTTAACGTCTAAAAGAAATTATTTAAGAAATGATTCCATTAACAGCACCCAAGACTAGTTTTCCATATGACATCTTTTGCCTAATATGGAGTCACTGAGGAAAAAAAATTAGGGGACTTTAATAGCAATAGTAAAATTGCAAAGGATTAATAGATTTAACTGATTTTCAAATTTCTAGAAAGTAAAAAGAATAATAGTGAATCAAAAGGCAAGCAATAAACTAGAATAGTATTTCCTATATTGTGACAAAGATTATTATCCTTATATAAATTCATATATTAAGACCCCAGTAGAAAAATGGATCAAAGAGGTGATGAGAAAATTCATGAAATAT